ATCAACGGTGCGTTTGGATAAGAGCAAAAAAAAGATCACATGGTATTCAGCAAAGCAATGGAGAATATGTAATCTGCAAAGAGCTGCAGATTACAGAGAAAAACACCAAACCCACCAAGGAGCGTTTCACCGAGGCTGCCATTCGCGGCGCCATCTTGAAGTCACAAAAACTAATTTTGCCTAGGTAATACTGCCTTCCTATCTCCATCAAGGTCATCTTCCTTACTCTCTACACCCAGTGACACCTCCCCACCCTGGAATATGGATTTTGCTGTTCTCCCAATAGCTATGTGCCAGGTTAGGTTAAGAATCCTTGAAGCTGGGATTTAATGGGGATTTTCTTTGAGGGGGTCTACATGGAAGGTCACCTTGTGTAGCAGAAACAGGGAACCAGCGCAAATTCATTCCACCTTATTCCACCACTTGGCCTAAAATAAGCCCTCCCCCAAAGTGCCCATCCCAAGCTCACCTTTCCCACATCTTATCTAGACAGCCTCTAACATTTTGATTCACCCCAAAGGCTGAAAACCTCACAGCAGTACACACCACCACGGCATAAACGGGTTACACCGCTCTGCTGACCAGAAAACCAGATGATAGCCCACCTCTATGTTGTCTGGACCGTAACGGTTGACAGCTGCTTCTTCTGAAATGCCAACACTGCCATATTCTAGAGGGGTGAAAACTGTTGTGGGCACCTACAAGAAGAATGTGAGGCCACACCATTAGTCATCAACCAGACAGACTAGGTCTTCTTGCACCTTGCATTTTCAGCAACATGAGCCTGCAGGCCCTAATACTTCCAGAGACTTCTCCTGGAGATCATTTTTAATCAGAAAATTCTTTTCACCCCAAAAAGGAAGAGAATGCTGGGTTCCTTCAGAGCAAAGGACCAGTCTCTAGCCTCATGTCTATTTTTAGAAAAGTGTCTGAGCATCAACTACAGTACAGTGAGCATCTTCTAGCCAAGATGGGCTTGTCATTGGCCATGCCCACCACAGCTGCCATTTTGCCGACAGACCAAACTCTACTCACATTGTCATAATCCATGAGTTCGGAAGAGAGGCCAAACAACCGCCGAGCCAACAACTTCCCTGCGGCAATCGCCGTTGGCGTTAGTTCAGGGCGGCCCTTTAAAGGGATGAGAACATTAGAAATGATTTTTACAAGATTTCTTAAAAGAGGGAGTGGGTAGAAGAGGAAGAATCAACATCTCAAACCTTCCCCAACAGTTTTGGTTAACTGTTTGTCATTTTAGGGCTCCCCACTTCTAAATTCATTTCCCCTCATCCATTTTTTTTTTAAACTGTCCATACAGAGGGACGGGAAAAAGGACTTCCCTCACTCTGATTTGGCTTCAGGCAAATATTGAGGAATGGGTTCATTAGCGTTTTCCAGGCTTGGGTTCCAACTGTCAAGTTCTACTCTCAGTGTCATTTTTGCCACTAAGAATTGCCCTGTGCTCTGTTCTTCCACCCAGCCACCCCCCCCAACACTTGCCCTCACAGGCTCGCCTGAAATGTGTTTTCCATCATTTCTGGGGCAGGAAATACAAATGTTATTCTGACATTCCAGAACAGAATAGTACAGGAGATCAGAGAAGGAGATAACATTTAAAAAAAAGATTCTGGCATGCATTCTACTGGGAAAAAAACCAGCACCACCTTCAGCTAATTACTCAAACATCTTAGCAGCTATAAGCTTGGTTTTCAGAAAGCAGTCACCTTTTAAGAATTCCCTAAATAAATAGTTTATGCAAATGCTCACTTTACACCCAGGCGCAAAACTATTGCACTCCAGAACTGCCCATCTGAGTTGTTCACGATTTAGTAGGAATAATATATTCAATGATGCATCTTCTACAAGAACTAATAGAAACTTTTCAATTGAGGTTAGGAAGACATTAGATTGTGCATGAAGCTTCACAAAGCCTGAAATGATTTTAGAAGTGGAATATGTCCTAGCTGGTCCTCAGATGTAAGCTTCCCAGAGTCAATATTTATGAGTTGGGTGGCCATTCTTTAAATATATACGCAGATACAAATTGGGGGCAATGCCAAATACATTCTGGAGACCTTCAGAAAAGCCTCCTTCAACTATCTGAGCTGTCTCTCCCAGGAGAAACTGTGGAGAAATTCTGGGAAGCAAGAGGGGCCAAGGCTGGGAGGCATCATATCTCCACGATGGCCCCACGTCTCTGGAATGGCTCCCATGGAAGTGAAATCAGCTCCATTGGTAGTAGCCTTCTGGATGCTAGTTAAAACCAGGTTCTTCCACAGGATGTTGGGGTGAACTGTGCATCAGGGTGGTGTAAGGTGGATCTTACTTAATCCTAACTGTCTTTGGATGAAGGTCCACTAGGTAGGGTGCCAAGTTCCTGGAGGAAATGTGGGGAGGGGGACTAGAACCATAACAAATAAAATAAATGAAATGAAAATAAAGTTGACTGCTGCTTCCATCAAATCCGTCTCCTCCTTTGTGGGCTTCTGTCTACTTTTCGGAACCTGGCCCCTGAAGGCCCCCCAAAGGCACAGGAAAAACAAGGCACACCCTGGTTGTATTCCAATCACCAACACCCAGAATGGTGCTATTTGGAAAGTTGACTCCCATGAGTTGCAAAACCTATTTATTCCACAGGCAGAAACAATATTGGAGAGATCGTAACAAGGCATATCAGATCGTTGCTGACATACGAGTCTGTGCCTGATAAGAAGCAGTCATAACCGCTAAGGCTGTGTGCAAAGGAAATTATTGTTTGAGGTGAGGGGGGGTTGATATTTATTTCTGGGGCTGGGGACAGGGAGCAAAGACCCTTCAGTGCTTATATATTCTACGCCGTGGCAGCACTGGTTATTCACCAGGCACCAAAGGAGGCTTCCTGTTACGTTCGAAGGGTTCATACCTCGGTTATGTCTCCAATTGCAAAAATATGGCGCATCGAAGTGACTTCTCCGGCGTCAACGAGGATCTTCCCCGTCTCAGGATTGGTTTTCACACCCACCCGATCCAAGTTAAGGGTTGCGGTGTCTGGACCTCGGCCTTTTAGAAAGGGAAGAGGAGAGAAAGAGAGATGACAGTTAAATCAGAACAGCTCTATCCATTTCAAATTAAACTTCCCTGATTGGTGTTTCTAAATTACAGAAGCGAAGCTGAAGCACAGATGACAAGACCTGCCATAAAATAACTGCTGATCCAGCTGGTGGTGACAAAAATATTAAAACCTGGTACCTGAGCCTGTTTTCTTCCTCTTCCTCCCCTTTACTTTTCCCCTAATCGATCAATCAATCAATCAATCAATCAATCAATCAATCGTTCTCTTTGTTTCAATCCTTGATCAGCAAGGATCTATATACTGTCATGATAAACACAGATCTATCTAATTATTATGAGAAGATCCATACAAAACTACAAAGATTAATGTTTTATGCATATATTAAAATATTACGTTTGAACTAGAATAAAAACAAAGGAAGCTGATAAGACAGTGTCTTATATTAGCTAAAGAAATAGACAAGTAAGCTGTAACAATCGGAATTATGGTACTGAATATAATAGTGATTATATCAATGCTCCCCCAGCCTAATAATTTTACCATCAATCTTGGACGATATTTATTATTTATTATTTGTAGCTCGATGGTTTTATTGTATTTTAATTAAACTTTATTCCTTTACTGTAAATCACCCAGAGTTGCTTCTAGGGAGATGGGCAATGAGAAATGTGAAATATAAATAAATAATAAATAAAATAAAACTTTACTGGTTATAGTTCGTTCTTACTAGCAACCAGATCCTGTTGAAGTTTGCAGGCTGCAATTTTACACGCTTCCGGGTTATCGCAGGACTACAATGGGAGAGGAAGAAGGAAACAGAAGATGGCTTCGCTTGTAAGAACTGGAGATCCAAGCACTACAAATGGGTCTATAGATTGTTATTTCTGATTTTATAACAATATCGCCATTTAAGACGTTTATTTATTTAAGACATTTATATGGCCGCCCAACAGATGTGACTCTGGGCACCTTTCAAAAACCATTAATCAAAACTCCAAAAGAGAAGTAACACATACCATGAAAACAAACGAACACAATTAAATGGAGATTGATTAATTCATTAAAATAGATTGGATCTCATCAATCTGGAACTCAACTTAACTTGACCCACGCACCCACCACGTCGGGGCCACCGGGAACATTATGGACACTGCCTTGAGTTGTACAAAATATAGGCAGGAAATAAATATCTGAGGGGGGGGGAGATCATTCCATAGAATGCTACTGTCAGTTACTTGCTGGTCAATGACCCAAATAAAGATATTGATTGATTGATTGATTGATTGATTGATATCTGATAGCCAGGACTATCTTGCTCCCGATATTTATAAAATTCTTTTTTTTTTTTTCAGGTTTCAATGCCAAATGACAGTGACTGTATTTTCTTGGGAAAAAATAAAGGACAAACCTGAAAACGGGGCCAATCTGAAAGCAGTTCATAAGGGTGTAAAAAAAAATAAAATGAATTGGTTAGAACTTTGCTGCAGAAAGGAAAAGTCAAGAGCAAAACCAAGAAAATAAATAATTCAATTCAATCCACGGAAAGGACAGCGTTCTGAAATAAAGGATTGCCCTTTAGAAGGATGGACGGAGCGTCCCGGTTGTACCCTTGACAGACCCTGATGGAGAACCTGGTCAGTGACCCCAAAGGCAAGACAAAGCTTGCAGATCGGGGGACATTAGAAAGCGAAATCCAAGTTAAGGTGACCCTTCTGCCTTTTTTTTAAAGAAGTCTCCATCCCGGGTGCGAGCCAAGGCGAGCCCGGGTGGCGCCAAGGCGAATGGCCACACCGTTTGGCGTTTGATGCGCGGCTCGGGCCTGGGGTGGACGCGAGTGGGAACCGGGCTTGCGTTCGGAAAACCAGTGGAGGGGGGTGTTCCCGTGTTAAGGCCTTTGATGTCAACGCAGGAAACGATTAAGCCGAAGGGAGACCTAGGATTGTATTATAAATAAACAAACGATGCGCTAGAGAGCGCATCTGCTGAAAAAGCCAACATCTACACACACACACACTCCAAAAGAAAACAACTGCGTCACATCTGCGTGGCTGGCCAAAGACCTTTGTGGATTCATTTCAGACGGAGAGCTGATACTTCCTTTGGGAACCCTGATGGATGCTGTCGGCACCCGGTTATCTGTCTGTCTCTTCCCCCCCCCCCCCCCGCAGGTCCCCACTTGCTCTTCCTTTTCCTTTCCCCCGTTCTTCCGCCCTGACGGTATCAGCCACCAAAAATAATCACCCCAACAAACCTCCGCTCGGATGTGAAACGACTTCCTACCGTTCTGTTTCTTTGTGTACGGGGAAGGAGAGCTGGACGAGGAGGGCAAACGGGCAGCGAACG